CATTTTGAGTGCAGACAGAGGCCAGATGACTCTGCCCTTTGTTACGTATTTAAGCAACATCATTTGTCTGGCACCATCCACATGGATAAATTTAAAAAAAGCAATTTGGGACTATAGGAACACATGGGCATCAAAATCATCTCAGGAAAACCAGGCCTGGGAAGTTTTCAAACACACCAAACTAAGGAAAGGGTACACCACCCTTGCCTGGACCCCATAAAGAGGAAGACATCCAACACTGTGACGGCTACGGCACCTGCTGACTGCACATCTGACTGTGGTGCCTGTGTTGAAAGACCACAGAGAACTCCCAACTGCCCCAGTGACTTCAGCTTGGCTTGGTCCCCACTGCTAGCAGTCCATTCAACTGTTTTGTTTGTGAGAGGCGGTATTTCTGTTTGTTTTTTGAGACAGGGGTCACTGGTTGGCCTGGAATTCACTTTGTAGACCAGAATGGTTTTGAATTCACAGAGATCTGCCCACTACCTCCTGAGTGCTAGGATTAAAGGTATGGGCCACCACACCAGGCCCCATTCTTCTGTCCATCTTGACCTGGTCCTGCATTTCATCTCTATGGCCTCTGCAGTTTCACATGTCACCCAGACAGTTCAACTTGATCCTGAGGCTTGGCTTGACTCTACTACCAATGACCAGTGCCTTGAACTGGGTTCATTACCATCCTCTCTAACCACCTCTAGGGACTCACTTTGTAACTGTATCAACTTCTTGCTTCTATCTTTCAGTAAGGCCTCTTTGGAACCTCTCGAACTCTGCCATGGCCTCTGCTTTGTAGGAATTCCGTAACCTACATGCATATAGACGTATGGGTATATATCAGGAATACTTGGCAAACTGCAGCCAACAAAACCAATGTAGCTTATGAATTTATTACTATTAAATAAATTCTGACATTGTAGAAAGACATAAACAATGTGTCCACCTATATTTATGACATAGCATGCTCATGACCAATATTATATGCATTGATGATTTTAAAGCTTTTAGAATGTGCATGGTAAATACATCCTATGTTCAAGTTATTACTTTGTACTCTAGGAACACAGGACTGGGAAAGGGACAGGTGATGACCCCAACTCAGGATAACCTGGTAGATTATTGTCAGTAAAGGCGCAGACAAAATTCTGAGCGATAGAGTAGGATAACAAAGGAGACAGACTCTGAGCTGAGCCTTGTGGGTTTAGACTAGATTCAGTATCTATGGAGTAAACTCCAGGGTTATGAAAATTCCATGTCCTCAAAACTTGGGATCATTTAGGGGCCTGGAGGTTACCATGATCCCATGTTTCCTTTTTTAGGTGAGACACTTCATAAAAGGTTTCAGTTCAAGAACCCACAGCAAATTATTTAACAAATTGTTCATTCATTCTACAAATATTTACTAAGGGCCTATAGGTTGCCAGGCTCTAGGCTACATGGGGCTGCAAGAAAAATTATGCATTACCTACCCCAAAGGAGCTCCAACAGTAACAGAACATGAACCCAGATCCCTGGCTTCCCTGCTTATTACTTCTGTGTCATGTCAGGACACATCACAGGCAAGGGCACTGAGTTCTCCAGGACCCAAATTATTGCAGCTACTTTCCACACCCTACACAAAATTATTTATAAGCCTTAGGTGCTGGGGAACAGGGCCTTATGTAATCCAATTTCCCAACTTCTTCCCTCAGACCCTGGGCCTATCTAAATGCTGTTTATTTTTGTAAAACACAGCCCCACCATTGATGACTCACAATGACTTTTGTGATCGGCTTTGAAATCGACTATTGTATATGTTTGCCTATGCCAGTTTGTCTCCCTTCCTAACTTCTTGGCTCTGAGTCTCAATCTGGTTGTTATTCCATTCCCCCTGTCCCTACTTCCTGCCCCACCCACACCCAATGTTACTGGAGTTGTTAGAGTCAAAGCCTAAGCCCTGGCAGTCCTAACAAGCTAGGCTTGGCCACCATCCTCAACATGCCAATTAATTGGACAAGTAATATTGAGGAAAGCAGAGAAAGGAGATTGAACTCAAGTGCCACATGGGCAAGAGGAACACAGAGGTCAAATGATCTCCTCCATGCCCCCACCCAAGTCTATCTCCCAGATATAAGGTCCTGACATAAGGTTGAGATTTTAAAAAAAGGGCAGTTCTGGGCAAGAGGTGGGCACACCTGTCATTGACCCATCATCGTCTAGGCTCCAGTTTCTCTCCTGTGAAGTGGTCTGACAAGCAGTCAGATTGTGGAAATCTCATTGTGGTAGACAAGCTCCCCCATCAGCTTTCTTCCTTCTCCCAGCATGAGACTTCTAGGGAAATCCAATTTCTTGGGATCCACTATTTCAATAGTCTGACAGTCAAAGGGAGGCCACAAGCATCTCTTTGGCCTTATTTTAACATATTTTAATTCCTGGTTACACCAGGACTATTTCCCAACTACATGGGGATGAATTAGTATTTATGTTTGAGAGACTACACCCTTAGCCCCACAAACCACACACACCTTGTACGGGGGCTGCTTTTCTGTCTTGAAATGTGGCCAAGGAGAGGGAGATTATATTCGCCCTGGTTCCCTCTCCGGTATTGGTCTCAACAATCCCAGAGATCTTGTATACATTAGGCATAGCACTTGGAGATGGCAAGCTTTTCAAAAGCCTACAACAACTGCTTAACATTGGCACTTTCCCACTTTGGGGGAGCATATTTGCTCAACATCAACACAGCAGATGCTGTGGTCCAGGCCCCTTTTCAGTGTTACCAGGGAAATTAGGACTCCCTCTTTTGGGTTCTTTTTTTAAAAAAAATTTATTGGTGTGTGTGTGTGTGTGTGTGTATGACTGTACCAGTGTTGTGCAGTGTCCACAGAGGTCAGAAGAGGGCGTTGGATTCCTCTGGAACTGGAGTTATGTATGACTGTTAGCTGCCATGTAGGTGCTGGGAACTGAACCTGGGTCTTCTTCAAGAGCAGCCGGTGCTCTTAATAGCTGCGCCATCTCTCCAGCCTCCCTTTTGAGTTGTCTCTAAGAGTTTAGAATAAAAGAACTTAGGAACAGATTCAGAAGGAAGCTCCAGTACAATTTTATTAGAGTGAGAGAACCACCACCAGATAGGCAAGCTGGAAATCGCAGCTGCCGCCAGGAGGAGAAAGAGAATGGGAAGAGAGAAAGCCATGCCTTTTGCTGAGGAGGTGGGCAAATAGTAGCATGGCAAAAAATGGGGGGCAGGGGGCAAAGAAAGAGAAAGCCCAGAGTGCCAGGAAAGCATGTGAAGACTTTAGGCCAGTATCTAAAGAGATTAAAAACAAAAAAAAAAAAAAAAGGAAAAAGGGTGCGTAGTGTCAACATGCAATTGAGTTCAGAAGACTCCTGTGTCCCAGGGCAAAGGATTGTACTAGGGACACTGTTAGAAATACAGATAGCTTATTAAGAAAGAATAATGTTGGCCATGATGGGGTATGCCTTTAATCCTAGCAGGTAGATTTCTGTGATTTCAAGGACAGCCTGTCTACATAGTGAGTTCCAGGCCAGCCAGAGCTATATAGTGAGAATCTGACTCAAAACAAGGAAAAAAAGAAGAGAAAGAGGAAGAACAGGAGGATGAGGAAGAGGAATGAGGAAGAGGAGGAGGAGGAGGAGGAAGAGGGGGAGGACTCCCAAGAATGGGGATAGGTTAATGAGCTGAGGAAAGAGCCCCAAAACTCTGGGATATGAAGCCCCAGTAACTGTTCTGGTCAATTTTCTGTTGCTGTGGTAAAACACTGACCAGAACCAACTTATGGAGGAAAGGATTTAATTCACCTTACTCTTCCAAGAGACAGTCCATCACTGAGGAAAGCCAAAGCAGGAATTTAAGCTGGACAGGAGCCTGGAGGCAGGCGCTGAAGCACAGACCACCAAGGAAAGTAGTTTACTGGTCCTTCTGCCTGAACCACCTGCCTAGGGGTGGCACCACTGACAATGGACTGAGCCCTCCCACATCATTCATCAATCAAGAAAATGCCTCACAGAAATGCCCACAGGCCAATCCAATAGAGGACATTCCCGAGAGTCCCTCTTCACAGGTGTGACAAGTTGACAACTGAAGCTATCCAGCACAGACCCTTTATCGGACATTTACATAACACCAGGCTCTTGCATTTGTATTTCTAGGTCTCTGCTAGACAAGGCCAGATATGGGTCTCTAAACGTGCCAGCGCATGCTCCATTTGTTGTATGAAGCCCAATAGTAGGGAAAGGTTTCCCTGCCAACTAGCTTCTTTCATGTTAATTGTGATGCTTTTGGCCTCCAGTCCTATTCTCCTGCCACATCAGTACCTAGTCAGTCCTCCAGCTTCTGGGAGTAGGTTCTTGATGACTGGCTACAGAGTTCCTCCCAGAGACCTGCTCTCACTAAAAGAAGCAACGACGACAAAGAGGGTAGATCTGTTTCCATGACTAGTCAATGCAGGACATAAATCTCTGCCCATATGCTTTAATCTGGAATAACTGCAATGGGTCACACCAGGCTAAAAACACTTCTTGGGGAGGGCTAAGGACTCTTAATACGATTGTTTCCCTGTTCAACTACTGCCTCTGCCTAATCTTGCTTCTATGTTGCTCTTACATATCCTGACATACCACACCCAGCCCACAATAAACCTGCACCATAGTCTCCCTCTCAGTCTTTGACTTACTGTTTTATTCTTTTCATAGCACTTACCACTAAAGTTATAACTTTAATACTAGGCTGTCAGTTGTAAACACATGTGCTTACAAGGAAAGGTCCTTGTTTCCTACACACTGCACTGCTGTGTCACCCTCCTGGGGTGACCCCGCAGAATAAGGTATATATTAAACACCGGTTGCTGAAATGGAGGGATGGATAAGGCGGGTCCTGCGGGGTCACAGAAGGTCTGGAGCTAGAAACTCTAAAGCGGAGGCTCAGGGCGTGGCCTCGAGCACCCCCACCCCCACCCCCACC